GAATAAAGTTGTGCCTTTACTATTTAGCTATTGCTTTTGGCATAACGGTAAGCACTTGATCCTAACAAGTAGTATCAGAGCCAAGGTCACGAATTCAATTTCCAACAGCAACATGTTGCATGAGGCAGGTGTTAGGAGAGGGGGATTGTTAATGCCAACAGTCTGCCTATGGCAAGACCCCATGAGGGGGCTGGAGTGGCACTGGTCGTAGTCATAAATCATAATCGAAAATAGCGCTTGGTTGGTGGGATTAGTTAAGAATAAAGTTGTGCCCTTTCTATCAACTATATCTGTTCTGTGTTACATTAGTATGTGAAGATGATGATGAATGTAACAATGCCTCTCTTATAACTATTGTTTCATTTCAAACTAAACGTCGTTGATTGTATCTCTTTAATTTTCTGCGCGCAGAAACATTGCTCAGCTAGCAAATGTCAAAATAATGAAAAGGTCAGGTGAATGGATAGACCTACACATACCAAGCAGGTAGCAATATTGTTCTCTATTACCTACTGCATTACTTTCGCGCCTTTTTCTTAACCATATCTATGGTTGGATATGCAGCATCAGGTCTATCGTCTGCCTTAATTTGCCCAGCTTTTCCGGTGGACTTAATCCTTGGGGAAGACCTAACAAGCAGAAGCTGCATGAGGTCAGTTTCGATTTTCTTTTCAGTATCTTCTACCCAAATCTAATCTACGAATGTCATGTATCAATAATGTAAATTAAACATTTTCTGTGTTGATTTCATCTTTAAACAGAGGGATCTTACTCCTCCATATGTTGATGATGGTCTACTTGAAGTTGTTGGTTTTCGCGATGCTTGGCATGGACTTATTTTGTTTACTCCAGGAGGGCATGGGACACGCCTTGCACAGGTTGTTAATTCAATAGAAACATGTTTTGATTGATTATGTGTTCTTACTAATTTATCGTTAGATCATAGATGTATAATGTTCATCTCTATTTCTACTCTTTTTTTTTAGGCGAATAGAATACGATTTGAGTTTCACAAGGGTGCTGGTGAGCATACATTTATGAGAATGGATGGAGAACCATGGAAGCAACCACTTCCTATAGATGATAACAAAGTTGTTATAGAAATCTCTCATTTTGGTCAAGTGAACATGCTTGTTACTCCACATTGTCTATCAAAAAGTATCAATCTTCCTTCTATAGATCAAAGTTTTTTTGAAGATGACTTGGTGGAGGAGAGGAGAAAGTTGGGTGCAGCTGATAGTTTCCGAATTCCAGATGATTTCGATATAAAACATCGTGAATAGAGTTAACCAGTACATGTGTTAGTAGGATGTAACATGTGTTCCTGTGAATTGTTACGCTAGCCAGGGAAATTACAGTTATAGGAAAGAAAAAAGGTTAATTGGGCCTTTAGAATTAGCTTACATACAACAATTGTATCATACTAGACAAATAAAAAGGAAACCAATATTGTAGTACTTTTTATCATGATATTTGAGTATCTTTTTGAATAATTTTTTAATTATAAAAGCTAATTATCTGTAATTCGTTATGAAGTTTGTATATATGTCTAATTTACGTTTAAAAAAAATACTATCAGATTAAGGACCATTATATTCTGGATAATACCATTTTTTTTTCATGAGGTCAGAATATTACTTCCTCTTTCCAAATTTGTTTGCTATAAATTATAATTTACCCTGATACATAGAGTTTTAATTAAAATAAAAAGAAAAGAGGCATGAAGTATAAATAGTATAACATTAGCTAGGTATGGAAAAATCCTTTATAAAGAGTATTTTTCTTCTAATGGAGCTCTATATAATGTAGATTCCGATATAATTAGGCTCAAATATAGATACCCAACATCATAGACAAACAAAACCAAAAAAAGACAGTATAACACTAGGTTTTGTACTATTCAAATAAGATCTACAAGAAGGCATGCCAATGAAAGCTGAATTAATTTTCATTACAAAAGTTTGTATTACGTTTTATTTTTTGATTTTTCACTAATATCGGGTACTAAATTGAAGTTTAACTATTTTGAATTTGTTCCTCGTAAAGCCCCATTCGAGGGAGCGCACCCTATCAGGAATCTTCTCATAAAATAGGACTCAAAATTCAAGACATTTGATTAAGAGAAGAGAAATTTTATTTTACTGCATCACATCCTTTGATGGTGTACTCCGTTTCAATATATTTGTCTAAAGGGATAAAAGTGGAATGGAAAACAAATTGTTATGGATAATTTGAATAAAAATAGTGATTATAATTCATTGGATATTTTGGTTTTTATATTGTTTGGATTAGGATCCAAGTCCAGCCCCACAGACTAGGGAAAACCAGGTGCTCCCCACTCCTGTCCATATCAAACAAACAGATAATTGGATCAGCTAAATTGATACTCCCTAGATAAATACATACATTTTTTTTAATTTTAATATATTTATCTTCTTTTTAAAAAAAATTATTTTTTATCTTATTTAAATTTAATATGAAATTCTAGAAATTAACGAAAATAATTAAAGAATTGTCAAAGAAATTAAAGAGTGGTCGAGAGATATTTTTTATACATACTAAAATAAAAGTAAAAACAAATTGAAACGAAGAAACATCTTTTATATATAAATGTAAATTGTAATAATTTAAACTATACAGATTTTATGATAATATATCTTATTCGTCTCAATTTTTGTATTTGTTTTTTTTTTCAATTTTTGAGAGTCAATATAGTTAATTATTAAAATTATTAGATTATATCAACTTAATATTAGTCAAATTTATATAATTTGATCTGAACAACTAAAATTGCATAAACTGAAACTAAGCAACTATATATAACTTTGTTATAATTATACAAACATTTTAAATTTATAAAGTTTAAACATTTTGTAATGACACAAAAACATTACATTATTATATATTTTATTATATTTAAACCATAAATAAAAGATCTTCCTCTTTATTAAATTCCTTCAAAACTAAATAATTACTATAGTGTCGCTTAATTTGAAAGCACTTCACCCCTAAATATGAAACTTTTTTACGTGAATTTAAATTTAATCAATATTTAATATGAATATATGAAATTTCAAATTTAATCGACGTCGATATGGATAAAAAATTAATAGCGTAAGATATAAAATGAACCCCCTTTCTTCTCTGTGCATCCAACGTACACACCCCACTTGTCATTCAAAACCAGGAGACACCGCAAATCCCTCTCCACCGCCTTTTTTCCTATTTTTTTTAATAAAAAAATTACTGTCTTATGTGATTTACTTTTTTTTTAGTTAATTCTAAAAAAATACGGAGTATACACAGGGGCGGCTCAACATAATTCGAGGCCTAAAGCAAAATCCCTTCAACTCAAATTTTCTCATAGGCCTTAAGTAACGGCCCAACAAGAAAAAATTGTGAATTTGAATTCATAAGAGGCTGTCGTGGCCAAATTGGTTATATGAATTCTCATTTCCGACTTATGACATACAAAGCACAAATTTTACTTCATTATCTAATATATTGAGATCGATTACCTGAATTCTCATTGAAATTAGTTATATTATTTCATTTGTGGTTTGTCTACTCATTTCATCATCCAATTTGTCGTAAGATGTATAATATGAAAACCAAGGGCGGCTCAACATAATTCGAGGCCTAAAGAAAATTTTTAATTAGAGGCCTAAAATCTAAATAAACTTTCTTTGTATTTATTTATTTTTCTAAATCTTTAGATGTAAATTACTACTTAATAGCTTTTATATAAATAATTTTTTCAAATACTTTTTTCAATTATTATTTGTAGGTAAGATTTTATCAATTCAACATTGAAAAACATCCTTTTATTGAGACAATTATTATATAAATTATGAACATAATTCTATAAGTAATAAGTTGATAAACTTTAAAAATAAGAGTTAGAATCATAGAATCTATTTCAAAAAGTTGATAACTTGGTATACCTACTTTAATATGAAAATTTACGAAGAAATAAAAAAAGAATTTGTAATTTACTTTGTTCAACATTTTTCGACTATTGATTCATATTTTTGAGAGAGTATTACTATCAAAGAATTGAAAAAATAGAGTGCAAAAAAGAGTTAAAAAGGATAAATAATGTGAGTGTTAGCAAGGAAAATGTAAGAATAAAAAACAATGTTTTCTTGATTTCTTCTATTTTAATGGGATTAAAATACATAATAAAGGAAAAATTACTGAAATACACTGTCTTATGTTTCCTTTATTTCCAATATCTCCTTCTATTTCTAAAAAACCTCTAAAATCCCTTATTTCTTTAATGTATTCGATCCAGTATTTAATGTATCCGAGCTACATATTATGTATCCAAGCTACATATTATGTATCCGATTTATTTTATAATGTATCCGATTTAGTTTTTAATGCATCCGAGCTAGTTTTTAATGTATCCGAGCTACATATTATGTATCCAAGCTACATATTATGTATCCGATTTAT